CCCGTGTCGCCATTCCCCCTTATCTCCTGCCCCGTTTCTCCCCTCGTGCAGCAATCTTCGCATAGCTACTTCTGTAGAACACGGTGACAGGCGCATATTCCAGAAAAGAGTACTTCATGATTTGTGCCTAGACTCCCTGACGGACGGGAGAGGTGTGCGAGAGGGGGGGCAGGGGGGGGGGGTTCGAAAAGGATGCCTACGGCGATTAGGGGATTACGGGGATTGGAAGATTAGGTGCTACGTGGGGCATGTGTGGGGCAGCATGTCAGGCGATTTACGGTGGTGGCAAAAGCCATAGGACCTTCGGGCTTATTGAGGGTCCAATACTGTAGAGCCCAACCACAGTTATCGGGCTATTGCGCAAACACGTGTGGGTTGTCTCCCGGCTGCAAGGGATGACACAAGGCTCGAGGGTATGACAATCACCCGAGGCTTGCCGAGGGCGAATGTCATACCCCGAGAGCCGGTGTCAGCCCGAGAGCTACGGGAGACAACCTGTTTGTCTTCCCGGCTGCGTTTTGACATCCATGTCGCGAAATCATTTCTGTTTTTGATAGAACCGCCTAAAAGTAATTCAAAATATGCCATATCGATACCGTCGAGGCTGGGAAAGGGAAATTAAAATATTGGACGACGGTGGTGGGGACCACGAGCAATCACCATTTCAGACTGCCCTTGATCGCAGCTTTCTTCGATCCACTACCACGGCAACACCCACCAAAATGGACTTTGTTCCAGGAACCCCACCACCAAATGTGGACGATCCTCTCACTTTGGCTCTGGTGCTTGTTCCTCAAACCCCGCCCCACAACAGATCCAATTCTTCAGGCCCTGCCAATGATCCGGAAAACACCGTGACCGCCCAGGACCGTCCTCTCGATTCACCCCATTCTTGCGCAGCTCAACTGTTTATGGGAGTAAGAATTCCACTGAACACCCTTCGTGCTAACTCTACCGCCCTTCGCGCTTTCGCGCGATTCGTCACTTCTGTACCAGGATTTATTGATAATGCATTCCGAACAGAGGAGCACCTTCGGTCCTACATATTTAGCGAAAAAGACCTTCGTGTCGCATGGGAGCTGTCAGAGACTAAAAAGGTACTTTTTGGAGATGGGGAAGGGAAATGTCCCCCCCCCCCGCGACTATGTTAACTGGACTGTTGATCAACTCAAACAGATTCGATTTCACTTAATAGAGTTCGTG